TGGCTGTATGTATGTATGTATGTACGTATGTACGTATGTACGTATGAGTGTATGTGTGTATGTGTGTATGTAATGTGTGTATGTGTGTATGTGTGTATGTGTGTATGTATGTATGTATGTATGTATGTATGTATGTATACATAAAAGTGGTATGTGTGTCTGTGTGTATGTGTATATATATATAGTTATGTATACATATGTGGCATGTGCTAACTTATGAATATACATGTGATTGGAAAACGCACGAGGCTATGTAAACAACGTACCTGTGTATGTAAAGGAATATGTATGTGTATGTCCGCGTATGTATCTGTATTACTGTGTACGGTTACGGATGTCGATAAAGTAAAACGGAAAATAAGATGTACACGTACATGTTCATGTACATGTGTACCTGCATGAATGTGGATGAACATGTGAATACGTGTGTGTATACGTATGTATGTATGCATATATGTATGTATGTATGTATGTATGTAGGTATGGATGCATGCACGTGAAAAATAGGTAGATATATATATATATATACATACATACATATGTACATATGTATGTAGATATGAATGTATGCATGAAGCTGAGTAAGTAAGTATGTGCGCATATAGTGTATGTGTGTATATATGTATGTATGTATGTACGTATGTATGTATGTGTGTATGGATGGATGTATGTATGTATGTACATACGTACATATTATGTATGTACATACGTACATATTATGTATGTATGTATGTATGTATGTAAGTATGTATGTATGTATGTATGTATGTATGTATGTGCATACTTTCGTAGGTGTGCATGCATGTGCAGATAGATATAGATATGAGTGTCTGTGCGTGTGCGCATACCTTCATCCGGATTTACGAACCTTCCTGGGTATGTGTGTGTATATCTGTGTGTATATATATATATGTATACATATATATACATATATATATATAAATAAAAAAATAAATATACATATATATATATATACATATTCATATGTATGAATGTATGTAATTGTAGGCTGCAGTTTAAAAATTCAAAGCTTTCGGGTGTTAGGGTTCAGGTCTCAGACTATCTATCTGTCTGCCTATCTATCTACCTACCTATCTATCTACCTATACGCACACACGCACGCAAATATCACGATCTTTCACAGTTCTTCGACATATACTTATGTGACTTATGTGCATGTTTGTCTCACTTTCTCCCTGTCTATGTGTGCACCCACATCTACATACATGTATATACACACACGCATATCAATATATTCAACCCTATTCAAGACATATATTGCATGGCATCATCCAGAAAAGTTGTATTGAACCCACACCCCATCAAAACATCTGAGACACAAGTTCGGCGATGTAGGCTGATCAGTAGGTTCCGGGCCTTGCTGGCTTCTTGGCAAAAACGAATGATGTACTTAAGGCTTCAGATTTCAGGGTAACCCAACGTTATCCCTGAAAGCAGAGACACTGCAGCCGAATCCCTATTTCGAAATGATCCGAACTCCGATCCCCCTTTTCCTGCACTGCTCCAACGCAAGCTGGGCATCGAAGCACAAAATCTCTGTGATCCTGCATCTTAAAGGTAAAGGATTTGGGGTGCTCAGGTTTGGGGCCGCTTAGGGCTTAAGCCCATGAGCCCTGTCAATCCTAAGATCCTCGCATCCTTAAGCACCTACTTTCTTCGACTGAGGGCCCGTGTCTAGGTCCTCCTTCTTTCAGCATACTACTATGTCGGTTTTCTACTTTGGGGCCAGTAGTGTCCCATATGTTCCTAAACTCCCAACCCAGAAACTCTAGGGCTACACTTCTTACTCCCCTGAACTCCGACAACTCCAGCAACTTACAATCTGGATCCCAGACACAAAAATTTCGTGAGCATGCTGGACATGCAATGGTCTCCTGGGTTCTGTCGTAAGGTCCGGGTTCGGGGTCTGAGCCTTTCGGCAACTTCTGGGGGGGGTTGAGGATTGAGGCCTCTTGGGATATCAAGGACCCAGACCTGTCGAAGACCATCGCAACTTGTCGAGCATTTTCTTAATTGGCAAGTCTGCCGGGCAAATGACAGCGATGGGGGCTTCGGGTCTACCTCCTTAGTTCCTACGAAGGGGAGTCTAGACCCACGCCTCTCCATTCTCCACCGGACTGCCATCTTACAGCGGAAACTTCGCCGCCTCGTCTTCTGGAGCTTGCACCATTCCATCGGCACTCACTGGAAAACCGTGAAGACATTGGAGTTGAGGAACGGTGCGCCTGACTATCGTGCATCTTCATACAATGCCAGCACGTTTCATGACAAGCTTGCTCTTCGGCTCACTCTCCTCATTGCATATGCTCAGCGGGTTTTGTTGCTATCAAGCTCTGCTGCCCCATGGTGCATCGTGCAAGTGGCTCCGCACCACTTCACAAGCCTTGGGGTCGAAGAAACTCTGCTTTACATTACTACTGATCTGTAGCCTGTCTGCTACTAATTATGGCGAAAGGCACAAGACCCTGCCCTTAAAATTCTGCGTGTGTTTTCTAAGGACACCTCTGAAGGCAGATCTGCTCAACTCTCGCACTCGTCCACCCTGCTGAGGCCGAGGATCACGAAGAATGATTACGTGTACATGTACAGTAGGGTTTTCGAAAATCAGGGTCCCCCTTCTGGATGAGCTTCATGGTACCCTAAACTCTGTAATAAGCAGTGAAACGCATTCAACCGCAAGCTTTCTTCGGGGACCCATCGTTTCCGAGTTTTTGTTTGCTGGAGCTCTTCCCAGATCGCCGGGGCATCCCGTGGGCTTCTGGAGCCAGAAACCCGGAACTCATGGGTTTAGGGCTTAAGGGGTTTAGGGTTTAAGGGGTTTAGGGAGTTTAGGGTGTAGGGTGTTGAGGGTTGTTTTGGGGGTTGTTTAGAGTTTAGGGCTTAGGGGGGGTTTAGAGGGTGTAGAGTTTGGGGCTTAAGGGGTTTGGGTAGGGTTTAGGGGGCTTCGGGTGTTCGGGGTAGGGGGTTGTTTAGAGTTTAGGGCTTAGGGGGTTTAGGGGGGTTAGAGGTTGCAGGGTTTGTAGGGTTGAAGGGGATCAGGGCTCGGGGGGTTTTAGGGTGTTTAGGGTGTAAGGGGTTTAGGCTTTAAGCTTTGGGGTTTTGGGATAGATTCAGGGGTTTGGGGTTTAGGGAGAGAGATTCAGGACGCAGGGTTGAGGAACTTGGGGTTTAGGGATACATTCCGCATCAATTGGAGTTTACGGTGCACGGTTTTGGGTTTAGGGTCCTAAACCCTCAACCCTAAACCCTAAACCCTAAACCCTCCAAGGAAGCAGGATGCCCCTGAACTCGTCTCCCAGATCTCCCCTCTTCGCAGGATGCTCCGGCGATCGGTGTTCTGTGCAGCAATCGCGGCCGCACCGGCCAGGGCTTGGAAACCCAAAAAGGGCCCAAATCAGTACAAAATGACAAAAAGTCCATTTATATGGAATGAAAACTGTGGTATGAACATATAGTAAGAATGTCATACTCACATCTGTAACTCCGAGATGCTTTTTTAGCCCTCGAGGCCCCTTGTTTGAATTCAGCCGGAAAATTGCTGTGCCACGGGAAATGGCAGAACTACTGGCAAAGACGTCTGCATGCTAGAAGCGCTCAGAGATCAAGCCCATGTCCAGGGGCAAGTTGCGGATCAGATTCTGTCGACTTGGACCATCTTCTTCCAGCGCCTCCACGATCCTCAGATTCCATCATATGCTCTGCTAGTGGTAAATAAGCATCTAGGTAAAAGAACCATAGAAATAACCTTTTCTTTACACAAAAGACGGACAATACTAGTCGCAACAAGTTGGGGAAAGCTGCGTCGAGAACCCTCAAGCTTGTGATACAAGACACTGCGCTTCCACCCACAGAGACTCCAACAACGAGGTTGGCCGAGAACCTGAACATACCTCCTTTACGAAATCCTGCCCAATTCAATTCGAGTCAGGCATCCTCCCACGGTCTATGTGCTAACTTCGGCCTAAGAACTCACCTTCCTTCAAGCCACCAGCCCCCGAAATCGTGAACAAAGGACCTGCAAACACCAAAGAAGGACATCTTCCAGGCGTTTACCCGGGCCTCAAAAAACACACACACACACAAGTACGCCTGAAAGCCATAAACCCTGAACGCCTAAATCTTAAGCTCGAAAATCCTACAACCCTCACCCTCAACCCTAAACCACCCAAAACCCTAATGCCAAAATCCTGGGCCCTAAACCCTAAACTCCCTAAACCCTTCCAGGCATCTGGTCGGGGGCGCCGATCTCCAGAGCAAGGTCCATTGCCGTACCTTCCAGGCCGCCCAATTGAGTTCAGAAGGGCTTCATACAGTTTAGGGGTTTAGGGTTTAGGGGTTTAGGTTTAGGGGTTTGGGGTTTAGGGGCTTAGGGGTTTAGGGGTTTAGGGTTTAGGGATTTAGGGATTAGGGTTTAGGGTTCGTAGGGTTGAACTGTTTATTTCGTGAGGTTGAGTGGTGGGGGCTTAGTAGGATTTCGGCTTGTAGGCATTTGTGGGATGCATTGGAGGAACCGCCCAAATGAGACAAACCCTCGAAACCCGAAATGTCCCCTAGATCCCAGAGGCTTGTAGAGACTACCCTAAGGGTCCAAAGGACCTAATAGTCAAATACTTAGGTTATGGATAGTAGTTTTGTAGGCTGATGTTCAGAAGAGTATGTGATTATTAGGTACTTGGACCCTTAGGGCTAGATCCTTAACCCTAGAAGCTGTATAAAGCCTCATTAAACCTCCCAGCCCTTTGAACCCGACAAAGTCTAAAGTCCAAACCCCTACCTAGGCCCTAAGCCCTGCATAAAGCCTAAACCTAAACCTTAAACCCTAGGCCCTACAGCCCTAAATCCTACGCACCCGGCAAAGCCAACACCTCTAGACCATAGAGGCCCCACGCAGCTTAGTCCCGTAGACCCTCGAAACTCTGCCAAGCCTAAACACAAAAAGAATCTACACACCCCATAGAACTGACGTAAAACGCTATCAGCCATATTAGGCCGAAATCCTGGAATAAACCCTAAACCCTAAACAATATTAGGCGGAAATCCTGGAATAAACACCCCTAAAGCCTAAACAATATAAGGCCGAAATCCTGGCAGCCCTTTACTAACAGCCCTTATAAACCCGCCTTGAGCTGCTGAGCCCCAAAGCCCTACTACAAGGCCTGAGTACTTCAACGCCTGAGCCCCGGCACCCTGACATAACAAAGGGGCCTGAATAATTAGAATAGGTTTTTTTTTGGGGGGGATATTGTACTATAACTAGTATAAGGGCCCCCCGCCCCTCCCCCCCAACAAAACAGCCTTAATAATTCTTTAGGCCCCCTATATTAGGAGCCTGAATCGGTTCTGGAGCGGTCTATTTTCAACTTTCCGGGTGGGATCCCATCATTTCTGACACCCCGAGGTTCAAGCCACCCTCAACCCTAAACCCTAAACCCTAAAGCCAGGGTGCAGCCACGTGTGTTCTGGACATCAACGAGCGCTCCGGCAGCCAGGAGCACCGCTACGGCGTCGAAGGAGCTGGTAATTACACTGCACCTTTTAGGGTTTAGGGTTTAGGGTTTAGGGCTTTAAGCACGGAGGGTCTTGGGTTCAGAGCCTATAGGGTTTAGTGTTTAGGATTCAGGGTTTAGGGTTTATGCAGGTTTTTTGCCTTGGTAACTAACGGGCAGGCCTGGTTCAAATAGGTGCTTGACAGTACGAAAGCTGTTACCGCAGGCATCACACGACTTAACAGCAACTTTAGTCAAACGGACTCGTCGACTTGATGAACCAAGTCGCAGGTCCAAGCCGTCCAAACCATGCCTGATTCCTAAACGGTACACGAAAACCTGGTTCAGATGCATTCGCCCAGGGAAACAATCGGGTCATAGAGCTGAGCTCAACAAGCTAAGTCACTCACAGCAAAGCTTTTCCAGGATGATAGTCATACCTTTATTGTTCCCTATGAGGTAATATAGATTTTAAGGCAGCTGTATGTCTCAAAGCCCTCAGCACCATGAGATTGGGCTAGCACGAAATTGACTGCTGGTCTCAGGGTTCGGGGTCTTCTGCTGGGGTGTGTGTGTGCAGCTATCCAGCAAAGCGGCATCAGAGGGGTGGCGCCGTAGTGGTGGTAGGCATAATAGCTTAGAGTGGATTGCTTCCATCGGTGGCGCATGCTGAGGCAGGCGAAGAGTACGCCAAGAGGGCTCAGGAGAGGTGTTGAAAGCTGACGATTGATGTCGGCTTCCGCTTGAACCTTGGCTTGGAGGTCAGGGATAGGATTGAAAGGGATGCTTCGACGTTTGTTCTTGTCTAGCTTCTGATGAATGATCTTACCGTTTCTAGTCTCATCAATCTTATACCCCGTCACGACCCCACGATCTATTTCAGAAGTTCAACACCCAGCACTTCCTGGCGATACACCGAATCCCCAAAGCTGGTCGATCATGAAGCTTGGGTTCATGGACCTCGACCAAACTGGCACCGGTACAGTGTGTACGCTTTGGCCTGAGGGATAACCGCCAACTTCGAGCACTGAATTGAAAAGTCACAGCCAACCCAGACCTCCGAATCCTATAAACCCTAAACCCTGTAAACCATATAAACCCTATAAACCCTACAAACCCTCTAAACCCTAAAAACCCTAAACCCTAGAAACCCCTAGAAACCCTAAACCCCACACCTTCTTTAACGAGCTCTATAAGGCCCTAGGGCGGGCCGAGGGGGACCTCCGAATGTAAGCTGTTCGAGCCTCGGGCCGGGAGGAACCCCGGACTGCCCAAGGCCTGGTCCTATCGGAACCCAAAACCCGATCCCTGAACCCTGAACCCTAAACCCCAACCTAAACCCCTGAACCCTGAACCCCAAACCCCAAACCCTATAATACCTAAACACCTAGACCCTGAACCCTATAAACCCTGAACCCCGGAGCCCTATAAACCCTGAACCCTAAACCCTGAGCCCCTAAACAGGCTCAGGGCTTCGGGTTTAGGGCGAGGCCAGGTCTGACTGTAGGAAGCGGATTCAGAAACCCTGATCCTCTGCTACCCTTAGAAAATACCGGGGCCGAAATAATTTGCCAGTACTATTTTTGAGGGTTCCTCATTATAGATATAGTGTAATATACCTTAAACAACCTTATTCTAGATATCAAGGCCCCTGCATCATTAAAAAAACATCCATGTGAAGAACTCCAATGAAGAGCCAAGGCTTCTTAGTCAAAGCTCCTCTATTTAGTTAGGGTTTAGGGCGTTTAGGTTTCACTGCAGGGCCGGAGGCCCCCCAAAAACCTGCACAAATCGGACCAAAGTGGCCAGTTCTAGGATGACTTCTGGAGATCCGCCACCGTGGAGGATAGCCACGTGGAGCGCCATATCAATCTCTTGCTGCGTCGTGGTTGGCATCAGCTTCCTTTTGTTTCGAGGAGTTTTGGCTCGGGTTCCGTAGAAGTCAAACGAGACAGCAGCATTGCTCCCAGACAAGCGGTGACTTGAGTACCAATCTTGAAGCCTAAATCCCTAAACCCTAAATCCCTAAACCCTAAACCCCTAAACCCTAAACCCTAAACCCTAAACAACAACTTTCCCGGGTAGCCAGAAGTCTTCATCGCTGGGAGAGCACCGAAGGCGCTGGCCGCCAGAAACGGCGAGTATCCCAGCATGTTGACGGCGGTCAACTCAGCACCGGCAGCGCTGAGGACCTGGATTAAGGCTTTGGGCGCTGTGTCTCCACATCAAGAACCACCAGATGATCGAGCTGTTGAACGCACGACGCGACAGCAGCTGCTAGAGGTGAGGTCGTTAGTTTCGGCGCCGGCCTCTTGGCAGTTCTGGGCCCTGGCCAAAATCCCAAGACACGAGCAGAGGAAGTAGAACAACCTACCCCGAGCCCGGAACCCTGCCTCGATACCCTGCACGCTGTTCGAAGCTGCAGCCCACGTCAGCGCCGTCGCGCCATAGCCGTCCACGGCTCCAACCTCCGCCCCTGCTGCGATCAAGACATCCAATGCCTGAGCATTAGGGCTTGGGGTTTAGGGATGATATACCATCTATGGGGGTTTCCGAAAGTAGGGGACCCTAATGTAGTACCCTGAATAGTAGGATCCTTATTATAAGCACCCCCAAATAAGGTACCCCCTTATTTTCGGAAACCCCCCCAGATACTGCGATACTACCTCCATAGCTAGTAGAAGCCCATAGGGATGACGCTCCCTCCCATACTTCTGTTTCTAGGTTGAGGCTACGTCGACTAAAGTCGTAGCGGGTACGGGTTCACAGTTGCGGGTTTTTCGTAAATCACCAACCAATTTAATTTGAGCTCGGGGGGTAGCATTTTTCCCGTTTGGGGTTCCGGATAGATGAGTTTCGAGCCTTTGGTTTTGAGCAATAAGATCGGCAAAAATAGAAATCGTGAGCAATGATATTGATTCTAGCAATGCAAATAACAGGAGGAAAGAATAATCTCTTTATCGCTATTGCAGTCGCTACAACACCAACCACAGCTATAGTACTGATGTTTGACTACCACCAACAATGTCATCTTCTGCCCTCCCTCAAAATCCGACAAAACCCCACATCCTAAACCC